TTAATGCTCTATCTAACATGGTGATCAGTTCAAAAGCTGATACTACTACCAAAAGAAACACACCATAAATTGAATTTAAGACCCATCACATGTGACTAGAACATGGCAGTACGTGTTAGTTGAAATGTTTGGCATCGCAGGTATGCAGGTCCAAGTAATATTTTACCCAAATAAATTATTATGTGTGCATTGAAAATGGATAACAATGAAGGGGTAAAAGGGGTAGGACGCAGCAATACAAATTCATACCAGTGATAAAGGATGGAACTTACAGAAGTATGCTGAGCCAGAGTGGACAATTCTTGCATTGTCATTTCTGCTTCTTCTCTTGGTTGCTTATAAACGTCAGGATGTGAATCCAACCTAACATGGAACCAATTCAGTAAATGTCCTTCAATTTCTAAAGAAATCATAACTTACGTAATATATTAAGTATAGGTCCAACTTACTTTGAAAAGAATCTATCAAGGTTATGCCATTGTGGGTCTTTACACAGATTTCCAAATCTGATAACTTCACGAGAGAATACATCAAATTCCTCCCTGCATAATGAGGGAACACACTTTAATATTTAACAAAAGAAACAACTTAAAAATCAATTTCATTCAGTAAGAATTATATTATAAAAAAGGGAGTACGGGAGGGGGGGCACAGAGAGAGAGAGAGAGAGATTTGGTAATTAAGAGCAGGCTATAGCAGGAAATAACAGGGAAGCACCTTTTGTCGGAAGCCGCAAGACTAAGAAGCTCATTCATGTCTGTAGAAACCAACTTTTGTATCCCTTCTGAAGGTAAAACTTCCTTTTTCAGAAACTGGATATTTTCATCCGAAAGAGATTGCAACAAGTTTGCACCTTTGGTAATGGTATTGGCAACTTCAAATGCCAGTATAGATATCCTATTTCCCCTAGAAGCCACACCAGTTGTAAATCCGCCGGAGTTCAGATTTGTCATGCTGCTGCCTAGGGTATCTAGAACTTCCACTGCCTTCTCTAGGCCCATGACGCCAGCCTTCCCAAGAAATGAGCTCACTTGAGGTGCCTGTCACAATAGTAACTTGCTGTAACATATTATTAGGATGCCATCTTTCAGAAGACTTCTTTCTCCTTGGTTCATTCCCAGGAAAAGAAAGAGATTAATGAAATGCATAATGATTATTCAAATAGTAACATTACACATATTTATCTATTAGATAAAGGAATAGCAAGAGCAAAATGAAAATTCTAGCAGTACTGGCACTGAGCACAGCAATAGGCGTGAAATGCTAAATACCCTGCAAATTCGAACATTTTCGCAAATGGTCTGCTCAGAACAGAACATAAAAGCTAGGTAATGTTCGTAACCTACATCTGCTTCTGAGACAAAGTTCCATGAAGTGAAAGGACAAATCATGTTTATGAAGAAATGGTCTGCTCAGAACAAAACGTAAAAGCTAGGCATCTCTCATTGTCTATTTTTTCTTGGATTTTTATTAATGCATGTCATGTTAAACAGAAAGTCCACATTGTTTGTGAACCCGGTCTAGAACTGCCCAAGGTCATTCCTGAAATAACAAAAAACTACAAAATATATTAAATACAGTTGTTTCTCCTCCATTCCCCATCAAAACAGCTAGTATAAAGGGTCCACATACCCCTTTCTCTTCCTTTTTCTTTTTGTCTATACAATGTCTCCAACTGCTGCCGTGTTGCACTATAATCGTAGCCAAAATTACTCCATTTACTCATGTAAACTATTTCATACCTCCAGAATTTTTACCTGCCCGATAAGCTATGAAACTATTTTAAGAGATTTTCCTCTTTGAAACCTCCAATTTTATTTTTTCATAGTACAGCACCACAAGTGCAAACTAACATCAAATCTCCTTTCAGTTTCATTCTAATTCTAGCAAATTCAATTTGAATCAATGATCTGCACAACCAAAAGCATATTCCACAAATCATTCAATAAATCCCTATCTCGGCAAAAACTCACCTTATCGTCCTGTGAACTCTTCAGAAGCAAGCTTCAAGACTCATTTTCACCGCATCACAATTTTTTTATTAAAAGAAACAGGAAAAAGAACACAAACACACAACTTCGTATACAGTTTATAGATACCTTAGTTGCTGGTGTTCTAGCGGGGGTTGATGACTTCAATTCTCTTGAAATCGATAAGTACAGCTCACCAGAGTCGTATAGATTGGGCTGCCCCTTCTCAAAACCATCCATTTCATCAGGATATGGGTAATAATCATCATTCTTCCTCTTTCCGAAACTCCCCATTGGCTTGAGCTTTCCTGAAAACCCTGAAGCCTTCTCCTGCTCAACCTCCAATGATTTATTATTCGTCTTCTTCTTAGCCGTCCCTCCAGAACACAATCCTCCCATTGTATATATCCAAATTGTCACAACTATTCACAAACTGAAAAGGACCGAAATTCAGTTGCAAATTTCCGATTAACCGATGACTAAAAGAAAACAATCAGTAGAACATGGATTTCCTGAAAACCCTGAAGCCTTCTCCTGCTCAACCTCCAATGATTTATTATTCGTCTTCTTCTTAGCCGTCCCTCCAGAACACACTCCTCCCATTGTATATATCCAAATTGTCACAACTATTCACAAACTGAAAAGGACCGAAATTCAGTTGCAAATTTCCGATTAACCGATGACTAAAAGAAAACAATCAGTAGAACATGGAATTTACTCAAGTAACTGGAACCAAAAATGGGGAAAAATAAATATATTATAACATAATAACAATCATGAAAATAGCTTAATCGTCTAATAAATATTGAATTTGATAAACTCAAGTGCCTACCAATTGAAACAGATTTTCGAAGAATTGGGAAAGTGAGGTGAGATGAGAGCGTACAGTTGGTAATTTTTAATAAAACCGCGTGGCAAATCTGGTGGGAATCAACTGTGGTGGACGATTGGATATATTTCAATCCAATTCAACCCGCTGAATAATAAAATGAGAATGAGGACACGAAACACGGAATAACCAGCGATCTCTTGACTTTCCTTTTTTTCTTTTTTTCTCTCTCTCTCTCTGTCTTAATGCAGAAAGAACTGTTTGAAATAGGAGCGGGGGTTTTTATGTCAGTAGGCCCCCGCCAGGTGGTGCAGGGTGTCACAGTCAGTCGTCGGCCGGTTTGGTTGACTATTTTGTCACTTTGTATTTTTGTTATTGTAATCTGCTTTATGACTCAAGTGATACTATTATAAAATCTTTAATGCTTTTTGAGTAAAATTTAAGTTAAAATTAGTTTTAATAATTAATTTTAATCATATATACTATGGGACTTAAAATTTATTCTACCAAATATCGAATTTTTATCCTCATCAAACAGGACAAATGTTCAAGTCTCTTGATCATTTAATTAAGATAAACTTATATCTTGATTAAGTGTGTGTTTGAGCCACGTTATTTTTGAAAAATATATTTTGGAATAGTAAATTGTTGAAAAATGTGTGGATAAAAAATAAGGAAAAATTTTGAATTTGCACATAACATTATTCTATTAAATAATAAATGATTGAAACGATATCAAATCACCGTTTAAAAATGTATTTTTCTCAAATAATGCGACTAAAATAGTGCCTAAATTTTGCCTTGATTTGAGGCCATCAAAAGACGAGATTATGAAGAAGGGCAATTGTCAATCAAATTTTTTAGTCCGTCAACACATTATTTAGCCCCTGTTTAGCCCCCATTACATGAAAAAATTAATGGGTGGAATAGTATTTTTTTGAAAAATGAGTGGTTAAAAATGAAAGAAAAATTTTTGATTTACATGTAATATTATTTTATGGAAGATTGTGTGGTTGAAAATAAAAAAGAGAAAAATGAAGTGTAATGTAATAAAAATTAATGGGGCTCAATCAAGCAGGTGCTTAGTGAACAATGAAATATTTGATATTTGGAGGTAAAAAGATAACTTTGACATAACCCAAGTTTACATTTCCATTCCAATTTAATTCGAGAATTATCTATAAACCAAATATAAACAAGGGCAAAATAGTCCATCAGTAAAGTGGGAGATTTACATTAGTCAGACTTACGTGGGGTCCACTTCAAATTAGAGCATTGAATTGAAATGGTCAGACAGTGGAATCCCAAATAAGATTTTATTAACCACAAGTAAAAGTCGTACCCCTTTGCTTGAATTTATCATGCCGTAGGGTTGCTGCATTGCTAACGTGGCTTATTCTCATTGGCTCTTTTTCGTACAGCAGTTGGTTTCAATTTTCAAAGCATCTGATGCTTTCACATTTTCATTTTGAACCTTGTTACGTGTACACTTTATCACATGACATTACCCTATTGAACAGTTTAAAATTTAAACAAAATATCAAAAAATCAGTATACAAATAACAAAATTCTTTCATTTTCATGTTTTTCGAACGATTTTGTTCGTAAAATAAATAGAACCCTGTGGTATATAATATTTATAAATTTCACAAAATCTATAAATTAAAACTATTATCTTCACCCCTGTTGGGCCGAGCCCTGCTAGAAATTCAGGGCGTGGATGAGGAGTGTGTCCCCCGTTTGGCCCTCTTTTTCTTTTAATTTTTTTCTCATTCTTATTTTCAATCATATAATTTTTTATAAAATAATATGATATGTAAATTGAAAAATTTTCCTTAATTTTCAATCACATATTTTTCAAAAAAAAAATTATTCCAAACATTAAAATTTGAAAGAATAAAGGCCAAACGAGAGCTTAATGTTTGTAAAATATGGTATATTATGCCCATGTTTGAGCTCCTTGTTTTCCGTCAAAGTGTATTTTTGAACAGTGATTTGACCAAATTGCAATAACATATTTTTTTAATAAAAATAGTATCACACTCAAATTCAAAACATTTTTGACCATACATTATTTATCGTAATATTATTACAAAATGCATTTTTTGAAAAATTTGTTGCTCACTAATGAGCAAAATTGAAAATATAAAATGGGATTTTCTTGAATTACCATTTCGATAATTAATTGAATACAAATTTCATGAAATAAAACTGTTAAAAAATTGATTTTCATCTGTATCAAATAGGCACTAAGTAATAAGATTATTTATTAGTAGTTTTGATGTTGTGCCACACTCGCTCTTGCTGTGGCTAGTGATACAGAGCGCTTAAATATTTAAGAAAGTTGGCCACAATCGGCGATCACAACGGGCTGGGATGTTTCTCCAGAATCGGACCCAACCTTCTCAATGGCCATCACCACTTCCATACCCTCAACCACCTCCCCAAACACCACATGCTTGCCGTCAAGCCACTCAGTCTTGTCCGTACAGATGAAAAATTGGGAACCATTCGTGTTCGGGCCGGAGTTCGCCATCGAAAGAATACCTGGCCCGGTATGCTCCTTCACGAAATTCTCGTCGTCGAATTTTGACCCGTAGATTGATTCACCGCCAGTGCCGTTGCCGGAGGTGAAGTCTCCTCCCTGGCACATGAATTCAGGGATGACGCGGTGGAAGGTCGAATCTTTGTAGTGCAAAGGCTTGCCGCTACTGCCGATGCCTTTTTCCCCGGTGCAGAGTGCGCGGAAGTTCTCGGCAGTGCGCGGTGTAGTGTCAGCGAACAGCTCCATCACGATGCGGCCGGCAGGCTGGCCGCCGATTGTCATGTCGAAGAAAACTCTAGGGTTTGTCATTGTAGAAAATTGTGAGTTTCCTATTACGATTTGAATTTGGCGGGGGACAATTGAGGTGGATGCGGGAGCTGATTATATACTGTCATCGATTCAGTAAATATCTTGTTCATGCAACCCGTTTAGGACACGTGTTATAGATAGGATTGAGGTTGAGGTGATAAGAAAGAGTGGCATTTGGACGTACACGTGTACGCCGGGAAAAACGATTGGGGTATATATGCTGACAACTGATATGATAATGTTCGCCATAAGCATCACGTGTAGGCACCTGCTTTGTTGGATCCATAGAATCCAATTCCAAACTAGATGATACACAATAATTGCAGCGACCTTTTTTTTTTCTCGTAATAAGAAAAAAAATAATATGCCCATTCCTCTAGTGCGAGGAGTATAAAGCAAATCCTTTTTGGTGCTTTGTGAGTGGAAGCACTACCTTGTAATAAATATTTAAATCATTGTTTTGCATGTATTAAAATCAAATTTTTAGTAAATTTTAATATAAAAAAAAGTGATTAGATGTGTGATTGAAAAATTGCGAATCCATAAAATACGTTATTAAAATTAATTATTGACTTTAATTTTATATTAGAATCAAAATTTAGTTCGAACCAATCAGGGGTAAATGAAATGTCTCACTGACTAGTCCCAAACCTTAGCATATCGTACGAATTCGTCTTCAACGTTTAAATCTAGAATTTTACCCACCCCACACTCATACATACTTTTTTTTTTTTTAACAAACAATATTTCTTTACTTATAATACAATCTTCCTCAAAATCCAAAAAGTTTCTTCAAATTTCATCATAACTATTTTTAGTTTTTTTTTTTTTTTTTTGCCACTTAAATTAAATATAAAAATGGTGTGTGGTGTTCGACAGTTAAGTCGATATACAACTAATAAAATGAATTGGTTACATTAATTAACGTTTTTTCTTAACATATTAAACAAACCATAAACAATGAATTCATCTAAAATTAAGCTCGAAAAACTCGTAAAAGGAATTCTGACGTCAACTTATAAGACCTCTAAACTGCTTGCTCCTGTTAGATGTAGAGCAAATTGGATGACCAAAGGCTGTCAAAATGCTTGCTCTTGTAGATACATAGCGAGTCACATCACATCACAGAAGTCTGTAAATTTGCTTGTTCCCATAGATGTAGAGCAAACACGATCACCAAGTGCCGTAAAACTGTTCGCTCCTCGCAGACATTGAGTATCATTAATGGATTAAAAATTGCTGGCTCCCATGGTTGTAGCCTTGCAGGGCAAATCAAATCACCAAAGGCAGATAAAACTGCTTGCTCCTGCAGATGTAGAGTTAATCGGATCCCCAAAGGCATAACAGGTTGCTTAAGGGGTTGAAATTGCATTTGCCATAGGTTCTTCATGCATGACTTAGCAGGTTTGGATGCTGGATTCTTGTGTATTTTGGAATGATAAGATTTGTAAGAGACAGTGAGAACTTCCCATCGGTGATTCTCAACAACATTGGTGTCTGTAATCGTTGATTAAGGAAGTCGCTGATTAATAATAATATCGCTCAAGGTAAGTCCCTTTAAATGGCCAAAAATAAATTGATTTCAATTAGATTCGTCATTAATCATGCTGTCATCAATCGTCGATGCTCTTTTCTCATCGATGATTGAAGTACAATAATTGATGATACTGCCACGGTATCACTAACACATATGTAGGTAAAATTAAGCTCAACAACTCATAAAATAAATTTTGTACCCAACTTAGCCTCTGTTTGGTCCCTTTTGAAAAGGCTATAGTTCGACCCAATCAACACCTAGAGGGTGGGTGAATAGATGTCTATGCAGAATTTAACAATTTAATTAAGTTATACAACAAGTCACATAAATTAAACGTTGTCCAGATTTATTCACATGATTTAACTGCCTATATTGAATTGCCGGTTGAATTGAAATTGACAGAAAGCAATAAATAACACAAAAATTGTTGACGGAGAAAATCCAACTGGGTAAAAACTTCGGGCACAAGCCAGTAGGGATTCACTATAGAAGACTCTAACTTACAGTACGCTAGACATGACTGTATCTAACAACACTCTGACCTCCTTACTGTATCAACCAAAGCTCTCCTGGATTCTGCAGATTTGCGCCAAAATCCCAGCCTTGTATTTCTTCTATTTCCCTTGAATCAACAAGAACTCCAGTTCTTCAATCAACCTCCTTCCCGGATCTTCAATCAACCGATCTTCTGGAAGTAGTGAGGATTTTTGATAGGTGTTTTGTTTGAAAAGGTGTTTGATGTTTTTTTTTCTTCAATGAATCATATGGTGAAGAGTTTTGCAATTGATTCTTTGGTAGAGAGGAAAATATTGCGCTATGTGTTTTGCCAAAGGTTGTTAATGAAAAGCGAAATTTTTGTTTATATAGTAGGTCGTTTTTTGTAGTATGGAGCATTTAAAATTCGCGAGGAAGGAAAATTACCAAACGCCGGATGACACTGTCACTCGAGCGAAGTGCCGGCGAAACTCTAGCGACGCATTCTCGTTTGAGCGAAGTGGTGGCGAAACTCCAGCGACGCAGGTTTTGTTATTTAGGCTTGAGCGAGGTCAGGGCGAAACTCTAGCACCAATCTTGCGCCGTTTTCATCTTCAAAGCATCCAACTTTTCCCTAGACCTATACATTAATTATTGCAAAATTGCAACACAAGTCCCTGAACTTTTAGACATTGACAATTTGGTCCTTGACTTTACAAACTCGACAAATTAGTCCTTTTGGTCACAGATTGCCAATGATAACATTTTCCTAACAAACTCCCCCTTTAGCATTCTGTGACAAAATTACACAAGGCAGTCAAGGACACAAAAAAATGTAACTCCTAATGACCTATTCATTCAACCAAAGCAACTATCTCCTGTCGAACCTGTTTCCTGAAATACAGAAACTCAATACCAAGTGTAAAAGCACGTGAAATGAAAACAGTAGATAAAACAAGGAATAGTGCATATGTAATTAACCAGATTAAGAAGAAATAGTAATGTAAGTCAAAAAAAACACCAAAAACATACATCAATATTGCTAAAACATCAAAACTTAATCTAGTTATTAAATAGATATCAAACCACAGTTATATCACAGTTAATCCAATATATCACAGTTAAATTGAGATTAAACTATCTACTCCCCCTTTTTGTCACAAATGACAAAGGATCAAAAACTAAAACTAAAACTAAGAAGCAGCACCACCCGCACTCGGTGACTCATCACTAGTCTCGTCACTCGAGCTCTCATCCAATCGATCACGAATCCAACGCAACTGACGCTGACACATTGATAGAGCACGCTGAAATGAAGAAAGCTCAGCAGACTAATGCTCCGAAGCAGCACGTAACTACGTGATCTCTGCCATCATACGAGCCTGCTACGCGATCAAAGTAGACATCTGACCCATAAGCGTCACCATGGTGTCAACAGGCAAGGAAGCCACCCCTGGAGCAGAAGTAGATGTCGAAGGAAAGGCAGCTCGAAACGGAATAGTTGAAGGAAAATCCGAACGAGGCGGAAGAAAGACACAAGAACCCCTAGTAAGAATATCAGTAATAGGATCAAAGGGCTCCGAAAAATCAAAAATATCAACGGGCTCAGCCTAAGCGGCAGCATGAGCCGAAGAGGACGGGACATGGGATCGACTCTGGTGAGTGGTCTGCTGTCCTATCGGGTGACCTATACGAGTAGAAGACCCCTCAGGGAAAGATGCACCAAGAGAAAGGACAACTCGATGAATCAAATAGGCATAAGGTAACCCTAAACGACCCCCAGGAGTACGAAAAGAAGCTAGAATCTGCTGGCACACAAAAGTAAGAAGGTCGATAGAGTCTCCATGAAGTAGGGCATATAGAAAACGAGCCCGTACCATCGGTAAAGAAGAAGTACGGGCAACGGGCCACAGGTTTGTGCACACGATGCGCAACAAAACCTGTCGATCAGTAGGTAATGAACCCATGGCCATAATCGTAGGCCTCCCAATAGACGGGTGTTCAAAAGAGTCGACCGAACAGGGGCATCGGTCGGAAGAGAAGCAAGGAGAAGATAGGGATACGTCGGATGAGGTATCTGAGGTATACCTAACGCAAGAGCTATTGCAGACGGAGTAACTCGAAAAGAATGACCTCTAAGAAAACTCCTAAAGGACGACCCATCCACCTTATGAATATTAGCATAAAACTCTTGAACGAGGAGTGGAGGCGGCGGTGTAAGACCAACAAGAAGGGGCTCCCGACCCCGGGAAACAAAAATAGCGACGACGTCAACAGGAAGGTCAGATAGAATTACCTCACGCTCCATGAGAACGGGGCGTAAGGAGAACGGAGACGTGAAGACCTCCTAAGCTGTAGCAGAAATAAACCGGGATCTACTATAAGATGTCGATCCACTAGCGGGCTGTGCAGAGGTAAGAGAGCGCTTACGAGCCATCTGGCACATGCGGAGATGAAAAGAATAAGCATAATGTGAAATGCACGCAACACGATGCAACATGATATGAGAAGATGCACACACGGAAACACATATGATCCAATCACATAAACATGAATGAAAATACACACGGCATGCAACGACACTCAAACAAGTAGGAAAGAAACGAAGGAAAAGAAGGAAATAAAAAAAAAAAATCAAAAGAAACCAAATAAGCATAAAAAGTGAACTTTCATCGAACACGTGGCGTGCATGACTTCGGCACCAAATTTCTAGCACATACGAGACCCAATCACAAATCCAAACACATCCCTAAAAACTACATGCTATGGACTTCACAACCAAACAAACCACAAAAAAATTGAAAGCAAAGAAAGTTGGGAATTACTTAAAAATTTTGCCAAGAAGTCAGTGTTTCAGACCCAGGATTGTGTTAAAGATGTTGAATTGAGACAAAAAATGAATTGGGAGTGAATAATTTCGATCAAAGAAGAAAAGAATTGAAGGAGGAGGAAAAAAATGATGAAATGCGCGAAAAATTGAAACAGCCGCATTTTAAATATATATGTCGCTCGAGCGAGACCGGGGCTAAACTCGAGCGACATCCTTTCTGCTTTTGT